CTCTCTCTCTGTGTGTGTGTGTGTGTGCGTATGTGTGCGTATGTGTGTGTGTGTACGTCGTCAAAGTCGATGTCGGACTCTTCCTCAACCACAGAGGGCCTCACGTGCAGACCACGCTCATCTGCACACACACACACACACACACACGTGTCTGCACCACCCCCCGTGTGTCTGTCCATCTTTCTGTCAGACGTACTCTGCCAGCCCTGCTGTGACGCCCTGGGCGCATTGGGGAAGGGCGACGGCCGCGACCCGCCCATGACGTCGGCACCGCTGCCATGCTGCGTGTGCGCCAGGCCATGCTCGCCACCCCCCGCCTGCGCAAGACCCGACGACCACGACACAGACCGGCGGCCCATCCCTGCACCCATCCATCCATCCATCCATCCACACACACATCATGGGATGGGAGAGAGAGAGGGGACCACCGTACGTACCTGTGAGGTGTTCAGGGCCGGGAGGTCCGTGTGTGTCGGTGGGCGACTGTGTGGTTCGCCACATGGGGACGCCGCCGGCGAAGAAAGGGATGTTGACGAGGATGATGCCCTCCAGGTGGGCCTCGGGGAAGATGACCTCCTCCCCGTCGCACACGATCTTGACCGACCGCAGGTCCACCAGCTTGTCGATGAACACGTCCTGGAAACCCACTTGCGCGTAGATCAGCTTGTTGCCGAACTGATGACGGACGGAGGAACACGTGTGTGCGAGGGGGATATGTGGGATGGGCGTGACGTACCCGTGTTTGGAAAAGGTTCGGGTGTCCCTCTCTGAGTTGGTGGAACTTGAGGGCGACTCTTGCGGCGATGCCAACGTCCATGTAGTTGTTGAACGTCGTCGAGAACAGCTCACGCTCCTTGTCGTCATACGCTGCACAACCACACCCACACCCACAGCCACACATCAACAACGTGCATACGAACCAACACACCGCCGCAGCGTGTGTATCTGTGTCGATGAACGCGCACCGGTGACCTCCCATCTGTCGAGCACTGTGAGCCGCGACGTCAGGACTTTCTCGAGCATCTTCTCGATGTCGCCGTCAAACGAGGCCCCCCAGCCCAACACACGCGCCAGGTCGTTGCCAGTGCCCTGCGCAGGGCAACAAACAGATATCCACCCCC